CCATGGACTTGACAAAGATCTGAGCACTCTCCAGCACACGCTGTTTACAACTGCCGTTGACCTCTGTTCCCATGAAACCACCACGGATATCGTCGAAACCCAAGTCCTTGACGGCCTTCCAGATATTAAGCACTTCATCCGGAGGCAGAGGTATCTATATCCGTCAGCAAACTCAAACAACTTATCATAACATCCAAGAAACCCAAGAAAAGACAGACCATATTAGGATAAGACCACATAAAAGTAAAGGACACCGTCCCCGGCAACCTCCCAACATGATAAATGCCACTCGGCACCACCCCAATCGAATCCGCAACCAACAACACCCTCAACGACCTCCACCAAAGCACCGAACTCCCGGGGAAATGCCCCCCCGTCTTCACAGCCACCAGATCACCCTCCACCCCAGGGACCGACAACCGTCCCGAGTCCCAAAAAACCTGCCTCTCCCCGGGGCAAACCACCCACTCTCTATCCTCCCGCGCAAGATAAACAGGACAGTCGAAGATCTCCGCCCAGTGAAGATGCGTGGTATAGAAATGCGGATGCGAAATAACTATCCCTTTCAGTCCGCCTAGCTCATTGATCTTGGAGACGGTCTCGTCATCGATATAGGTGATGCAATCCCACAGGAGATTACCGGTGGCTGTACGACATAGGAGGGCCCGTTGCCCGATGGCCACTCTTGGGATGGTGTGAATGGAAATTAGATTCTTGTGGATTGTGTCTGGGGTGAATTCGTTGTGATATTGTTTTGTGGTTTGGAGGGCGCGGAGCGTTGTCCAGGATTGTCTTGAGTAGTGTAGTTAGTATTAGTTTCTCTTGTATAGATATACAGCATGGATCGATACTACAAGCCCCTCTCTTTTCTTTTCCTTTGGGATTATACCTAAATCATATCCATAGATAGATGGATAGAAAGGAGGAGAGAGGGGGGGAAAGAGGGATAAAGATATACCCAGTAGCAGGAATAAACTGTCTCGGATCGTCGCAGATTTTACACGATGATTCGCTCGTTGTAGGATACTGCGTTCCACAGGTCGAGCAGATGGTTAGATCTAGTGAGTTGGACATTTTGAGAATTCGTTTGTAGGAGTTGTTTGGTGTACTTGGGTCTTGGGCGAGGACGTGCAGTTGTTCTGTAGTACTTTTGGGGCTTCTGTTAAGGTGCGGGGGAGGCGGTGCGTGTACCATTGGTTGAACTTTGGGAGCTTTGGATACGGGGGTTACGTCACTTGGTGATCTTGTTACTAACTAATTTATATGTTGTTTTATGGTGATTTTGGCTTGTTTGGAGGGGGTTATTGGTGAGTTGGGGATTTGGGGATTTGGGTGGGATTATTGTGATGGGTAAGGCAGGGTTATATTGTAAAGTCATGTGTGGACATAAAGTATTACTGATACCTTGAACCAATTAAGTGTACCATCAAGAAGTAATTTTCCTCCCATATTTTCTCAAAAATGAGGGAAAATATTACTCCACTGAAGATTTGAGTATGCACCGACTGGCAAACTCCGGAGGCTGATGAAAGCCTCTATTATTAGGTACACCATGGAGAGCGTATATGAGAGCAAACCACCAACGAATATTGACAACACCATAAATCGAGACCAGGCGGGCATCCAGTCGGGCCACCCATCCTGTTGTGTTGAGTCCTTTGACTCTAGATCCACCTGATAGCATGCATCCTGGAACATTCTCCCAAAACGACCTAGGAGATTGACTGCTTGTCTTAGCAAACTGCCGCCATTCAACCGCGCTTCATAAAAGTATCGGATGCCGTAAGGCCTAATACCCCTCTTCCGAATAGCCAAGTAAATCAGTATGGGAAATAGCCCTACTCCAATAGCAGAGAGACGCCACAATAAACGTTCTGTCGGGGATGGAAAGTGCGAGTTCCACACGATTAAATGTAGACCAGCGTTCAGAACCGCGGTAATGGCTGAGACCAACTCTGCTCGCCAATCGAAAAATACGACGATATCATACCATACGCGAAAGATCATATGAATTACTGAGCTGTGACTCGTTCTCTCTGTGATGAAAGGTTGACCACGACGTTCAAATTGAGTCTCTGTTCTAACATCGTGTCCCTGCATCGCGCCTCCATCCAGTGGGAGGAAAATCGGCACATCAATGTCCAACGGCTTCGACCACCAGAAGGCGTATGCAGCGACAGCAAAGGGGATCTGTATGGCAACATGGGCTTCAAGAAGTGTGACAGGTAGACCTGCAGAGATTCGTCCTATGAGTTGCACAACCATCCACATAATTTGCATGAGTACGATCGTTTTGGCGAGATTATTCGAGTTTCCCTTGTCCTGAATGGTGTAACGGTCAAAATACGACTTGGAAAGACGACCTTCCCGGATGCGTGTCGGGATGGCTTGGTTCTTCAGCAGGCTAATGAATCCATCCGCGCTGATGGTAGTAACCAGTTCAGCATCTTGCAATGCAGGTGAAGACTTTTGGTGTGCCGCTCCTTCTCCCAATGTTTGGTTGAGAGGGTCTCTTTGTTCCCATGGCTTCCCACTGTGGTTGCTTGAGTCAACAGCATACCCCCCCATAACGACAAAAAAGGCGCCTGGCATTCCAAGCAGCTCTTGTTTTTCCATCTCCTTGTCTCCCCAGGCCTCACGCCAAGCGTGATGAACCTTTCTTGCTTTGAAATATTGTGTCGCAGCCATGCATAATATGAATTCAGGCCAGAAGAGAGCCATTAACATCAGTAGTGATTTATAATATAGTGTGGCCAATGACTTCCTTATAGGTACGACATTGGGATGGATCGCGGTCCATACACAAAGAAGAAGTGTACTTGTACAGCTCCAGAGTAATCCAAATGTACCTCTTTGATTTGGTTCTGGCATGTACGACGGCTCGGTCTGGGGAATAGGAATGGCAAGAGAATGGCAGTGCAGGAGCAAGGACAGGAGAATACTTTGGCGCATGGTGCTTGCTTCCGTATGGCCGGTAATTGCGTATCATTCTATGAACAAAAGGTACACTTTGGGGCTTATAAGAAAGGTACATGCAGATTGTGATGCACTGGAAAAAAGCGCATGAGGCAAACTCGCCTCATCAGACTCCGAATAGTGCAAGGTGACGTGTTAAGGAAAAGCAATGATACCAGAAGCCTTTTGTTTGATTGGCTCTTAAATGCAGCTGAACAGGCCCTAGATATGACCGGTCAATATATGATACATACTTACCCAATGAATTGAGTAGCAACAGCTTAGAGATCTGCAGACTATTGAACAAGCCTCACTGCAATTTAAATTGAGAGGGATATTCCACTCACTCAAATAAAGTAGTAGAAGAGCTGGGAAAGATCAATATCTGTTACCGCTGACAATTAGTGTCCTAGAGAAGAGAGTATTCAGCTACGCTGAGCAACCAGTTTTAATAACATCTAATTTACTGTGCTATCAATAGCCTACTTAGTATAAGTGGGATGGGAATTCTTCTATACCTAAATAGACCTACACTATCCCCAAGATAACCCCCTACTGCCCCCCAAGCATCGGAAAAAAACCAACATAATAATCCCTCTTCCCCAACTCCACCCCCTCCTTCCTCAAAATCCCATACGCAGTAGTAAGATGAAAATAAATATTCGGCAAAGCAACGCTATGCGCATACGCCGCAGCAGACATCTCAACCGCCTGCTCAGGCCCCATCGGCGTCTTCGCGACGACATCCGCCTGCCGATTAACGACGTCCTTATCGGCCTCCTTCAGCGCCTTCAACACCGTCTCAATGCGCTCATAGCACTCGGCAAATGTCGCCGGGCTGCCATCGAACGACACCGGCTCTCGACCGGTTAGTCGTGCAACCAGGTTCTCGGAGAACTGGGTCGTGATGCGGACTTGGTCGGTTAGGGGGTACATGTCTTCGTGGAGACGGGCTGTGAGGAGGGTGTTGGCGTTGGGGTGTTGGGAGGCGCGGTGGAGGATGTGGGAGAGGGTGTTGAGGATGGATTGGAGTACCGGGATGGTACCGTCGTAGAATGTGTGGGCCATGTTTGGTTGGAAGGGAGGGGTTTAGTCTGTAGATGTTTGGGAAGTGGTGGTTGGATCTGGGGGTTGTATACACGACTTGTGTGGGATTGTTGGAGGTTCGTTGAACCACCGACGTCAGATGGAGTTACTCGAGTTTCTTTTATATTGTAAGATCTTACGGGCTATTACAACACAAGTTTTGAAACAAATCGAGGGGTCGATTTGAGTCTAACTATGCGCAGTTAGGTGTGAGTCTTGGCATTGGGGGCTGGGATATATATACTATGGATGTTGGATACAGGAGCTATAGTTACTTGAGTTACTACGGATAGTTATATTGATGTTTGCTCGGCTGAGGTGTTTCGGGATGACAGCATTGCTATGCGTCCCGTTCTCGCTTCCGGGGGCCTGGTGCTTCTCATGGATCAGATTTATGGATTCCTGAAGCTGCTCTTCGAAGGGTGGTGCTAAGGCGAAGGACGATTGGATCGCTTGTATAATGAAATAATATTGAGAATGGAGATATATTTATCAAGAGCGATAGGTACCATCAGTAAATATTACGATAAACTGCGTTCTCCACGCCTTTAGACCTGCTTCGTCCAATAGTAGAGCTCGAAGAGACTGGGTATCGTATCAAGGATACTTGAAACTTGACTGTGAATATCTCATTCTGGTGTCTGTATTTACCTTGGGTCGTTTAATGACCAGACCAAGTCAAAGCAGCAACTGGACTATGACACAAAGAACGACGTACTTGCATCAGCTGTTTGATTGGGTCCAGCAGTTCAAGTTCTATAGGCTTGATACAATTATCGGAGAAGAGAAGAGACGATTCGACCATCGTAGTACGGCAGTTGCGTATTGGTTGGGTAGAGGACTATAGAGTAGCGGGTTTCAGGGATTGCGGTACTAATAAGGTATCCATCCGTCAAGATAGCAGGAGAGGAGGAAGAAAATGTGGATTTGAAAAGCAAAGGTATCAAAAAAAGTTATAGTGACAAGAGTGGGATTCGAACCCACGCGTCTTGCGACATATGAAGTAACCCTAGTTGTCTAGGACAAGCTGTAACTTGAGTCATACACCTTAACCACTCGGTCATCTTGCCATGCTGATGTTACAGGTAACTGAATTACATTATATATATGGAAGATGCTTCAGCAACAGGTGTCAAAAAGAACAGTGACAAGAGTGGGATTCGAACCCACGCGTCTTGCGACATATGAAGGCACCCTATTCTCTAGGGCAAGCTGTAGCTTGAGTCATACCTAATGAGGTAATGTTAGATGACTTGCTAGAGTGACAATATAGATCACGTCGGTACTTACACCTTAACCACTCGGTCATCTTGCCGTGTTGATGACTAAGTTGGTCAAACTAAGTCATCTATTTCATACGCCATCTAGTGATGGCGTCCAACTGAAAAAGTCGTTGAAATAGAACCCTCAAAGGACTAGTAGGATACTCAATTTGATGAGATAATTCAATAAGAAAACGATAAACTAAGTTGATTTGGCTATTTGACTGCTTATTCTAAAGATATAGGAAAAACAGAAAGAGCTGGTGGAAGAACACAATTAATTAGGTGTTGAATGTTACGCCCGGATATTCGTCCAAGGACTCTGCAACCAGTTAGCTATCTTGGTTAGATGCGACTTACCTGATGACTAGGATCCAGTAGCGATCAGCGACGATGTGTGACCAAAGGTCCGAACAACAATAACGATGAGCGATGACGACTTGATACTATGACAGTCCAAGGTTGAAAGGCCAGGCCAATTAAGTACGTATACTCAATTGTTAGATAGTGCGAACGAGTCGAGCTGGTACAAGATACTAGAATGTAACTATCAAGTAATAATTGGAATTAATCACAAAGAACTAAGCTAAGTACATAAATGGGTGTCCTTATATATCCTTGGTCCCTGTATACCATCCTGGTACCCCATATACCATTGCTTGGCGCGTATACCATGGGTCGCAAATGTTCACGTAACGCGACCGTCGCTGATTGTCCTCTTCCACAGTTATCTCAGTTTGGTGTTATCTCGTGACATTCTGCCTGGCGTTCCCGCTTACGATAAGGTGGTTGCAGGGTTCATAACATTGAATGGAGCAGTGATTACCTGTCTATCTACTATTCAGGGTAGAGGACCTGTCAACTAGGTAAGGATACATAGGCAAAGCGCTAGGCAGTAGATACTGGAGACAGAAGGCTGATTCTTGATTTTCTCTACTATGATTTCCAGTGCTAATTTATAGCTGAAAGAGGCCTAGGATTCTTTGTATACAATATTCCCAGTAGGGGCCACTATACGTCATTAGAAAGGCAGCGGGCATAGACTCCGACGTCGCCGATCGGCCACCGAGTTGTGCATGCCACCTGGGACAGGGCATCGGGTACAGTCACCTTGCATGATCGCTATCAAATCTATAACAAAAGTGTAACAAGAAAAACACAGCAAAAAAAAGACTCCTGGAAAACACAGGAACATCTACTAGGATGTAGTAAAAAGGTTGACAAGAGTGGGATTCGAACCCACGCGTCTTGCGACATATGAAGTAACCCTAGTTGTCTAGGACAAGCTGTAACTTGAGTCATACACCTTAACCACTCGGTCATCTTGCCTTATTGTTGCCTTCTTGTTGTTTTTTGCATTCAAGTACGGCTACTATTATACAACCCAACCACTTCCCCTTGGGAAAAGGGGCAGTACAGCAGGCAGAAAAGGGCTCATCAACAAGACACCTGCAACTATATAAACTCCTAATTTAATTAGGAGGGCCAACTTGAACCTTTCTAAACACGGAGTTCTAGGAGAGCGACTGGTGGTCCAATAATATTCTATCTTATTATCAAAGACGTATAACCATCTGTTATATATAACAATGCTCCATGCAACTGCGACGTGATATAGCGAAGACTGTCTACCAGCGATTAGATTCTGAATATCAATTATATATTGGAACGTTTCCTATATTCGCACCTTTAGCTAGGTCATAGACGCTTTCGGCCTAATATATGCCTGTAAGAATTCTAGTTCGACCACCTACCTAACTAAGCCTTGCGAACTAACGTCTACAACAATGAGAATGCTACGTATTCCTACAGGCTACCGGAACCAAAGACTGAAACCTTTAAGACATTGTTCAGATGCCTGGGACTCTCAAAAGCTCACTCTAAATTATTGTAATTATAGGAGTATATCGGGAGTCTCCCAAATCTCTTTTTGATCTAGAATACCTGTGGGTAAGTACGGAGGAGGTAACGGTTCCGCGGTTATCCATATCTACACACTTTCTTCTTCTTTCCCCTTTTTTTTTTTTATATTTTTATTTTTTAGTATACGCTCAATGGTTTATTCTTAACAACCGAAGATAAAAATAACCTGTCACCCCCAAATGTCCATTGTTGGAGAAATCACTAAAGTATACTACCTTTCTTTGTTTATGTGTAAGCCAACGGCCTCATATATATTTAGAAACCACATTCACTCTTAGATAGCCCTACCTACTCTTGGTAAGCATTAAGATGCCCCACCGATAATGAAGATTTATATTTCCGCTTCTCACACCCCCGGGTCAACACACGATACCCAACCCATATGACCGGCCTGTATCTGTTTCCCCCCTCCTGAGGACATCGAGGTTATTCGCTTACTACATCTGAGTGTCACTGTCAAGAGATTCCATTTTTGGAATAGCATCAAGTACCACATCTGCCATCTTCCGGGTGCTCATCCTAGAATCGCAAGTATGACAGCCCGGTTGGAAGAGGACAATGGCGTGAACAAGGAAACATATGAGCCGGATAATCATATACCTCCCCCAAGCCGGTTTATCTCAGTCCAGCAACAGGAGTATCAAGAGAAAATTGTAACCCCCCCCCCTCCCCTTTATCTCCCACATCACCGAGTTTTGCTCTAATGCGCAACCCAAGTTGCAAATATCCGTAGACTCAACCCACGTCCCGAACGAGCCACTGGCTAGCCTACCATCAGAAAACCTCTCTCTCACACGACATGCGAGCATTGCTACGTGACATCAGACTCGTGATGCGCAGACGGCCCGTCGCTACCCCAAGGGTCCTGAAGAATCTCACTCGGGTCCCAGATCTTTTAAGTCTATTCGAAGCGCTTCCTTAATGTGGCTACTCCTTCAAAAATGGGCCCTGGAAACATGCTCTTGTAGCCTTTGGAATTGACCCAAGACTGGGACCTGAATATAGGATGTATCAAACGTATGAATTTCCGTGGAACTATGACCCTATCATCGCAGAGCCTTCTGGTACATCACCCCTAACCGTCGAAATATCGTTCCCAAGGGTGGTTCGCACTAATCACAGCGACAACTCTCACGTTTTTGACGGAAATTTACTATATACAGATGACAATATCTGGCAATACTGTGACATTTCTGATGATCAACTTCATCGAATTTGGTCGACAACTACAGTTCGTCACTCTTTCTGTCCTCAGAATGGATTTTTCTACAACGGCACGAATGCAAAGCTATGGGAAATCATGTCTGACAAAGTTATGACCATACGAGATGGAGAAGAGCCTGCAGTGGATGATTATGAGTGTCTATTGAACATCCCGGACGACTACAAAGGTGGTTCCCGTAGTGGTGATCGCAAGAGATATGGCCAAAGCTTCGGGCAGAACTACACTCGCAAGCAAGCCTTCATGAGATCTTTAATCCTGAAAAAGGCACAATCCCTATAATATAGGTTTATCCACTATGTATATAGTTGAGATGCCTCGTACAGCACACAATACTACCAGATCCATTTCTAAGGTGATGGGTGAGTTTTCTTAGTGAATTTAGATTTCAAGGTTCATTGTCAAGTGAATCACATTTGACTGCTTAGTGAATTGGCTCTAAGGGCATTCAGTTGACTAGTTCTACCTTTCAAACAGAACCTCAAACAGAACCTCTCATTGTCTCCCAACATCAGCACTGTTAATTTCCTTATTCATCCTTTCTTTTAAAAACCCTCCCACACCCCAACCCTGTGATAAACGGTTCCCCCATATTCCCAGTCTTTACCCAAGGATATACTCAACCATAAGAACGTAAGACTGTCGAGCTAGGCAACCATGGTATCCAGTACCCACAAGAACCATACCACTGAAAAAAATCAACAAACCATGGAAAACAGCATAGGTGGTAGGTTGGATTCATCATCCAAGTCGAGTCAGAACTGGGGGCGTTCGCGAGCTCGACCGGGCTACCAGGACGGCACCCCTGCACTAGTTGAGCTTCTCACAGAGGAATAATACCGGTCGCTCCAGTGTATACGTAACCAGAGAACTGCAAACAGGATGGTTCGGCCAAGACGTTTCACATATACACGAGAAGAGAAGCTTTTCGCGATTCGCTATTGCCGGGAGGCTAGATCGCTAAACGTTGAAACCTCGAGATGGTATCCAATTAACATGGAAGTAGCAACTCGAAAGCTTTGGGTCGAGGAGAGCACCTTGAAACGGTGGATGAGAGAACAGGACCAGATAGTCGCTATGCCCTCTGGATCTAAAAGAGCCGACAAACGTCCTCAGGTTCGGGCAAAGACACTAGCAGCACCACAACAAGGTACAAGAGAGACAGTACCTGGCGATGAGGGTTCATTCGAGGATGAGAGCTCCCTCGTCAATCACAACTTCTCATACTATTTGCAGTTAAGCCCAAGGCAGCTGAGGGATATGTTGAGTTTGACAGCATCTGATCATAGGGTTAGTCCCCAACCTCCCTAAGAATTGACACAAGTTGATACATGTTTCGTCTAGCTCCATACGTTCCAACACCCTGTTCCCTTTGTTGGCATCGAAGGGGGGAGAGTGGGAAAGCTGTATACATTTCAAGATGCATATAACTTTTTAGATTGTCCGAATATCCATTCTCATCCAGGCCATCCTCTTCCTCCGCCTACCGTGTCTGGCTCACCATCAAATGAGCGACCTTCACTGAATATCCACGCCGAGAGCACATACACGAGTAGGGCAGGTGAAAGCAATATTTCTACTCTTAGAGTTGTCGATGTTAATAAGCAACTTTACGAACTTGCCCCCGAATTTGGTGTACGAGCGCCAACTGGTGGTTACACGG